CAGATAAGTAGGGCCGTACAGAGGCTCAAAGTCTTGGACGGCATCACCAGCAACTTGGACCTTCTTGTCGTTCTCATCAGACAACCAGATTTCATGGTACGCACTCGTAGAAGGCAGCAAATGGTTGCTGATCTTTGCGGCGTAAGACTGAACTTCTTCATGAAGCTTGGATTGAGAAGGCAAAGAGCTGCACATGACGTTACGGTTCACGTCACCGCAAGCAGCGATTGTGGTCATGAGCGCACGGTTGATGGCCTGCATGGTGGATCGTAGCTTTCCCTTGACAACACCGTGGAACTGGAAGGTTTGACGAGTAGTAAGCTTCATCGTCTCGTTACCGAGCTTGTTGCTAATATCGTCCATCTGGATCCACTGCGCGGCCGTCGCAACACCACCGGGTAATCTACAGCGAACCATGAAACCATAGGCGGGCTCCAGGCCCTGGGCCTTTCTCTCGTCGCGGACATCACGGTCGTCCTGAAGATAGGTGCCATGGAACTTGGTCAGTTGAGAGTTAGCGGCTGAGATGGCTCCGGTGGACGTATCCTTCAGCTCCTCTGCAATGGTGCCTCGGAGGAAGTTTGACTCAAGCTTGATGTCTTCGTTGGTAACTGGCGGCGGCTCATCAGGGAGACCGTCGACCTTGTCCACACCGAGCGCCTGCCACAATTTGGGCTCCCATTCCTGGTAGCCGGTCTGGAAGGCATCTGGATCTTGGTCATCTCCTAGGCCGATATCAACGAATCTCTTGCCACCCAGGTTGCCCAAAACCCTGTCAAGATCCTTGGCTGGCTTATTGTAGTAGATCTTATCCTCTTTTCGCGGCCAGTAGTGGCTGTCACCCAAGCCAAAGACGGAGTAGTTGACGCCAGCCAGGTCGAGGTCGGTGTTGTCCTTTACAGCATCCCAGAAAGCCAATCCATCCTGAGGGAACTCTCCCTGTCCAGCGGTGGAGGTGATGAAGACGATGTTTTCCTCGCTTGGTAAATCCTCAACAGGGTAATCTTCCATAGCCATCGCCGCTGTCTTCAAGCCACGAGCTCTACCCCGGTTGGCCAATCGCTTGGCCAGCGTGCTGCCGTTGCCGTTATCAGAAGCAAACAAGATAGTCAGAGGAGCTCCCAGAAGGCCCTCAAGAAGCTGGTTGTAAGCATCCTTTGCCTTCCTCTTCTGTGCAGCTCGGACCTCGGTTCCAAAATCCTGGCCAAGGTTGGCAGCGAAGCTAGGCTCCTTCTTCATGATTTGAGTCAGTTGGTTGTCTCGAGCCAGGAAAGCCTTCAGCTCTTGCTTGATAAGCTCTGAGTCCAGAGAAAAGGTAGGCTCGCCCTTGGCCTCGTTGTCAGGGTTCCATCTGTAGAGAGGCCAGTAGCCAGCATCGACGGCCTTCTTGGTCTCCTGCAGAACAGTGAGAGGGGAGTCGGTCTCGCCAAAGTAGGGCAGGTAAGCCAGAACCACTGATGGGCCGTTGAACTTGTCTGCCTCTAGCAGTGCCTGAAGAACCTGAGTGTATGAGCTGTAGACTGCGGTGGAAGCCACGTAAACGTTGCCAAAGTTCATCGCATACAAGCCGATATCCTTCTTCCTGCGGTTGGCATCGGCCACGGCCTTTTCGGAGTAGGGCGTTGAGTCGATAATCAGCATGTTCACGTTCTCACCAGACGCGAGGACGTGGTGAACACCAGAGTTGCCGAGATCGTAAGCCCAAGCATCAGAGCCCATCAACCAAAGAGACTCCTTTCGGAAAAGATTACGGTTTGAGAGAAGCTTCTGGGCTGCTGGTGAGCCATCCTGCTCCAACTTGGCAATGACGTCGTCAGAGATCACATCAGACTTTGCCTGGTCATCAGAATTGACGGCCCATCGTGCCAACCAGCTCTTCAACGCCTCAGTAGCAGCTCCAGAGCTGCTTGCTGCTTGCTTGACCTCGGCCACAAACTTGGCTCGCAATTCTTTACGGGCCAATAGAGATCCAAAGCCAAATTCGGGGCTGGCAGACACAGTGGAGGAAATACCGGCGTTTTGAGATCCCAGAGCGTTGGCAATGTAGGTTCTGCTGCCGAAAAGCTGGTCGAGGATTTTGGAATAGGCAACCTCAAGCTTCGGAGCCTCGACGCCAGCTGCAACTGGCTCACTTGGTCCCTCCTTGACACCGACTTCCAGATTCTGGATGGGCTGTGCGGCTATGAGGTTTTGAACAATGCCACGCAGGGCCTGGGTGGTAGCCTCAGGGGCGATATATCCCAATTGGTGGCCAACAATGGTCTCAACACCACCAGGGCCGCTCTTGACGGATGACAACACATCAATCAACAAGGGACCCCATTTGGTGGTCTTGCGGTGAATCTGTTCCAGGACGGCGATCCTCTTAATCGTCCTAGGGATGCTGGCCACGAGCTTGGAGCCAATCCAGGGTCGGTACAGGCGAGGTGTAAGAATACCAATCTTGGCAAAAATGTCATCGGCCTTAGCACCGTCGATGGCTTCAGCAAAGGAGCTGGTATCGGAACCGAAGATGAATAGACAGTTCTCCGCATTGGCCGGTCCGGTGTATTCGAAGGCGTTGTATTGTCTTCCAAGAGCGGTGTTCAGCTGTGCCCAAATGCGAGTGGCGCACACATAGACATCTTCGGATGTCACTTGGGGAGCAGCAATCTCTACAGTAGTGGCGACTGATGAGGACCCAGTAGGGGTGCTGGAGCTGCTCGCCTGGCTGGTCTTGGCAGACAGCTCGGATACTGCTTTCGAAGCGAGGCTGACAGTCGGCTGCTGAAGGCTTGAAGCTTTGTCGGCGCTGCCGGAAGACGCGGCCTCCTGGTGGTCTGAGGAAACGGCAACATGTCCGTCATCAGCGTACAGTCCAGAGGCTTTGATAGTGCCAGCTTGGAATCTCCTGACAGTGTCAATGTCAAGGACAGCTCGTACTACTGAGAAATCCTCTAGGCTGATAGGCTGATCACGGGCCGAAGTATCTGGGGAGAAGAAGTGGATGACAGCCTTGCCGGTGCGCAGAGCCAGGGCATGGGCGGTGATAGCCATGTCCTGAGCCTCCTGAAGAGTCTCAGACTGCAGGAACGTCCAACCTGAGTTTCTAATAGAGGTGATGACGGAGAAGTCGGCAAAGCCGCGGGGCTGAAGGGACACATGAAGGACAACAGGGTAGTTGGCAAGCTTGTAAAGGTGAGAAATGGAAGGGAGGAGGATAGAAGAAGACGTCGTGACAGAGACGAGCTTGCCTGACCGGGCAGGAGCAAAGACAGACAGCAACGGGTCATTGTTATGGCGGATATGTTGTATCTGGAATCAGGTTGTGGTTAGTGAGCTCTTCTTGCTTTTGACTTTTTTTCGGACTGTCGGCGGACCAGGATCGGGTCGTCGTCATTGTTGTGGGTTGAATTTGTAAGTGCGCAAAAGAGCAAAAATGACAAAAACAACAAGCAGTAGCAGCCAGAAACTCACCTCGGGGACGGTGTCTTCGGTAGCTGCAACGATTCCACGGTCCTTGCGGCCAGCAAACCGCTTCAGGTGAGAGGAAAACTCAGAGTCGGCAGCCAATGAAGGCTGGACGGAAATGACGACATCGCTAGAGAGGTAGGCGATTCTCGCAGCTACACAGACGAAAAAACACCAGAGGAACAACAGGTCAGCCCAGCTTCGAGATAGATGGATGAGATAGATGTGTCTACAGTGAAGTTAAAGAAAAGGGAGCAGAGAGAGAAGATATCCCCGTGAATCATAGCAGTCATCAACTTACCAGCCTCTTCAGGCGTGCGGATGTGAACCGAGGTCGCCATGCCCTTTTTCGTTGTCCGCCTATAGGATCAATCCAAAGCTCTTGAGACTATGAATCTCTAAAAGATTGGAAGAAAGGGCAAGATGCGAAAGAGGAAGAGGAAAGAAAAGGGAGTGAAGGAGAAGTAAAAAATCGAACAGCCCTCAGGAAAGAGGCCTAGTCAAGGACGATGCGAGAGGAATGGTGAGTTATAAGACGGCCAGTCCACCAATTCAACAAGCCATGTCACCCTCAGCCGATACCGTAGCCGTCAGTCCTCGTTTCCCTCTATCAATCGCAGCTGTTCTCCCGTAACCTTTTCTTTTCCTTGAGCCACAACCATGTCTCAAGGCTCCACTGACTGCCTCAGCCAAATTTCCATTCCCCGCAGAAGCCCGAGTTTTGGAGGATTGCGTGATCGCTTAGCGCTTGGAGGTCTGCACAGTCTTGCGTGGGCGCCACCCGCCAAAGAGCAGCCATAGGGCAGCCATAGGACGGCGGCGATGGCGAAATCGCTCTCTGACAAATCCCTGCCGTCAGATTCGTTGCGATGTGACGTGGGAATGTTGAGGCTTGGGGAGGGCGGATGAGTGCTGGGTTTTGCAGTGGACAAGACCAGGAGATGGAGGAGGATTGCTTTTACTGTACTAAGCACTAAAGCACCATGATTGCTTACATTAGTTAGGCGGTATCTCTGGATAAGACAGACATGGTACCTAGGTAGTGACAAAAAGGCACGATAACTTGTATCAGCCTTAGCGCCCATATACAGAAACAACATGTACTCCATCAATCCCGTAAATAGTGCCAAACATTACAAAATTTGATCCTCACAAAAGCAGAAGCACACAGTTGCTTGCTCGCTGACGCCATCAACACTAAACCCAGTTCAGCACCTGATGGACCGCCGCTCTCGCCGCAATCTTGCCGCATCATCTCAGTTCCAACAGCTTGTTCTGCCTTTCCACCACTCATCCATCGCTATTAGATTGAGCCGGACCCTGGATTAGCTCTTCTGGCATTGTCCTTGCACCAACCAGGACCCATCAAAGCTCCCTCCGACTTCCGTCTTCCTCCCAAAGGCACCGACGAGCCGAGCCCACACTCACCTCCTCATTCGCTCCGGTGCCCGGTAACGGCTGGCAGCCAATCGCTAGTACCTCCGAATGCCGAGAGATTGGCATGGCCCGGCCCTCGGCGTCTCTGTGGCTGCCCAACGCCCCCAAATAAGCATACCGAATAGTGCTATTAATTATTGTATTAAATAAAGGCCACGCTCGTGACCGCCCAAAACAGTGAACACCCAACCTTGCCGAGATTTTTCTTCTTGATGATGAATCGCGGGGCTCCGATCGCGTCATTTCATACCCCAGTCTCTCCGTTCACATCGTGTCTTCCCATCCATTTCATTTCATCCCCTTCCCTCCACCTCAGTGACTGACTCTGTGACTCTCTTTATACTTCACCAGCCAGGGTTGCCACTGTGCTGGGTTTACGGCTGGTACCACCTTCAACCCACTCTCTCGCCTCGGAATAATCCATCCAGTAGTTGCGTCCAAAAGACACCATCAGTCGACCGAGCTGACCCTTTCGTCCTTCACCGTCAGGCAGGTCCGCAGCAAACGGACCCACATGATCGTCGACGCCGGGTCCTTCAAGAATCATCAGCTGCATATACTTCTGCAGCACCTGTCGTGCAAAGTTCATGACAACCAGACTGAAGTAGACTCTGATCAGGGTCAAGCCAGTGATCAGAAGCATGCTGGCCGCCGTCTCCTGGGGCACGACATCGCCATGCACGGCAGTTTCGCGTCGCAGACCGTCCATGCCCTCAGCAACCATATCAGGCAGGCTGGATCCGTTTGATGTAGCAGTGGCAAAGTACCAGTCCATTCCAAAGGCCACAGTAGAGGCGCCGTTGATGATGGCATCAATCACATACAGCCACGCCAGGGCCAGGCATTCGAACGGGCTCTGCTTTCGGATATGCGGGATCAGGTAGATAAGGAGGCCGAGAACGCCAATGCAGTATACGTAGGTCGTAAGCTGGAAAAGGGAGAGCTGGAATCCGGTAAGGATGGCAAGAAGACCGTAAACGCCCGTGACTTTGTTGAAGACCAGTGCCAAGGAAATCAACTCAGTGCCAGTCTGGAGGCTAATGAGGCCGAAGAGTGTCTGATCGCGACTGTCAGCACCATGCTTTCACATCCCTTATTGCTTGACCCATCTCCTATCGCACATCTCCTATCGAAGAGAGGGTGAGAGGCAGAGAAGTATCAACGTGTGACCTACCTTCGGCCGAGGTATCCGCAGATACAGTCTCGTGAATTTGGACATGGTGGATGGAATTCCCGTCGTTGCCGTCGTCTATACTGATAAAAAGAAAGCACGCAAGTCTATCGCCAGACCAGACTAGAAACAAAGTGAAGACGCCCAAAAAAAGAGTATAACGGGAGAAGCGTTGAGATCTCGAAAGTTTCGGCGACGGCGGAGATGATTGCGCCCAGGAGAGCCTCGCAAGCGCGCTTAGCCGGATCTGTGCGCGGACCCCATAACGGCAGTAATCCGGCCAGTCACGTCTCGGCCAAGATGGCGCAATCACATGATATATCACATGAGCCAGCTTCAGCTCGGGAAGCCCGTAGCGAACCAAAGCGAGGCCTCTTGGGCAGGGCAATTTTTCGACGCTCGGTGCAGATCCACCATCACGTCACCGGGCGAACATCCGAAGTACGGACGGTACGGTAGCTTCGTACTTTGTAGCATCGGCCGTGATGTCCCTGTCGAGGCTTTGATGGGAGATACTTGCTCTACCCAATGGCATGAGCACTTACACGCACATCACGTCTCGGTCGGTCCACTAAATCTGCTGTTCCAGTGCAGATTTGCCAAATCGCATCGTTGCTTGGCCGGTACCTCATCCAATCCTCCTCAAGTGCGGTATATACAGTAGTACCCGGTACCCTAAGCTAAAGCTACCTACCTCCCATTACACCGGGCGGTTCCCCATGAGGAGCTCTATTTTTCGCGGAGCCAACAACTTCGGGACTCTTAATAGACCTGCAACGCGGATCCCAGCTTCACCTTTCACTTCCGCAGCCCATCTGAACAAAGCCTTGTATTCCGTTAAACGTGCGCCTTCAGCACGCACCAGCACACAGTTCCTGTACTCCGCAGAAACCCTACCCTGCAGCAGCAGCCGCATCTCAACCCGGGGTCGTATATCAGCATCACCCTCATATCCTCCAATTCGAACAATGGCTGCCAGTGCATCCGATGTCGCAGCTCTGATCGAGTCTGCGAAGAAGGCTGCCGCCTTCCAAGCCGTAGAGGACCACCTCTCTCCCACTGACAAGTTCGTCGGAATTGGATCCGGTAGCACTGTCGTCTATGTGGTGGAAGCTATTGCGGCCAAGGGGCCGAGCTTCTCTGCTAACATGACGTTCATTCCTACAGGCAGCCAGTCCAAGGGCCTGATTAGAGCAGCTGGATTGAGGCTTTGCAACTTGGACGAGCGCCCTGTTATCAACGGCGTGTCTGTTGCCTTAGATGTTGCCTTTGACGGTGCAGATGAGGTAGATGAGGATCTTAACCTCATCAAGGGAGGAGGCGCATGCTTGTTCCAGGAGAAGCTTGTCGCCGTAGCGGCTAGAAAGTTTATTGCAGTTGCGGGTGCGTCAATATCTTACTATCTAGGTACCATATCTTACCCCGGAACAACTAACGCTTTGTATAGATTCTCGCAAACAATCACCCCGGTTGTGCACCAAGTGGAAGACTATTCCTATCGAGGTCCTCCCCCTCGCCGCTCCAGATGTTTTGAACCGTCTCAAAGCCATGGGTTCCCCTAACCCTGTCGTCCGCTCTGGGCTACCTAGCAAAGCCGGCGAGTGCGTGACCGACAACGGCATGTGGATCATCGATGCTCCTTTCCCGCCGTTGCTACTGCCCAAGGATCTGACGGCAGAGGTGGACGGCACGGGCAAGAACGGAGCTTGGGAAATCGGAAGGCTGGCTGAGGAGCTGGTCAAGCTTCCTGGCATTGTCGAGATTGGCTTGTTCCACGGGTTCAATGGAGTTCAAGCTGTTGGTCTGGGCAAGGAATTCCAAGCACAGAAGCCAGTTGCAGCTTACTTTGGTACACCGAGTGGCGAGGTCCAGGTACAGAATGCAGCATAGGGGAACATATAAAAAAAAAGATGGAATCAAGCATTTAAAAGGGGGTGAATAAACATGCATGGACAGAAAAAACAAATCACAAAATCTCTTTCTCTTCCACTATCGGGAGACAATGACAGGAGCCAAAAAAGAAGTTGTAGCGCTTAATTCAGCAAGTAAAAGATTATTAGTATGTGTATAAACGATCGTGGGCACGTTGTCCCCGTTGCAGGTATTATACAAGTCCCATGCACTGGCCAAATTTCGAATTGATATCCTATTATTAGGCATAAATGCATCGTGACTGCGAAGCGACGCTGAAATGGGGATACTGGTCGGTTGTCTTGTCGGGCGTTTCGAACTCTATTACGGACTCAACATCTTGGCTTAGCACGAGCAACCTTCTTGGGGAGGCGCTGTTGTGTTCGTCCGCACGTCAATCACTGCAAGAGGAAGAGGTGTTAGTTGAAATGCCATCAAGAGTAATCGGGACGCAACGGCATCATCCGTGCTAACAAGGTAGATAGATATAAGAGGGGCTTACTTTGGTTGGTAGCCTGGGCAGCCGCATCGGAGCCCTCCATACCAGGCAGTGCCTGTGCTATCCTCTTGAAGAGGTTCTGTACGTTGTGACCAAGCTTGGCACTTGTCTCAACAAATCTTAGACCTTGTCTCTTGGCCTCCTCCTCTCCTTGTTGGGTCGTGACCTCTCGCTTATCGTTAAGATCGGTCTTGTTGCCCACCAGGACAATGATGACATCGTTTCCTCTCTCTGCCCGGACGTCATCAATCCACTTCTTGGTGTTTTGGAATGATTTTGCGTCTAGGAAAAGGTATGCGTTGTTAGTCTACCATGTGAATATGGTGGGGCTTCACCGCGAGTTTGAGGGGAGGGGGGCTCTGGCGGTAGAGGGACAAGAGAAGAGGGATTCCATACTAGAGATGTCGTAAACAACAACAGCAACGCTCGAGTCACGGATGTATGAAGGGATCAAGCTTCGGAATCGCTCCTGGCCTGCGGTATCCCACAGCTGTAGTCGTACCGTCCGATCCTCGAGGTACATGGTCTGAATCCACATGTTAGGCTCGTCTACCGGCACCATGCTTGAACGGATTGGGGCTTCGTACCTTGGAGAGGAAATCGATACCAATGGTAGCCTGATACATGTTGTCGAACGAGTCGTACATGAATCGGGTAATCAGAGACGTCTTGCCCACTGTGCCGTAAACTCGGTCAGTCACCAAATCGACAGATATAGTGTGGAGCCGGACAAGAGACACATACCGCTTTGTTCCCCTAAGAAGACCAGCCTGAATTCAAATCAGCATTAATGACTGGCACGGGGTCAATAAACGGGCAACCAAGGACGCATACTTGAACTTCTTCAAGGGGTTGTTGTAGGATCCTCCGGTTTGCGCCATGGCTGCTTCGTGTAGTGGCGTGTGATGCTTGCTTGGAGATTCCGCGGCTGCCAAATCAAGGCCGGTTGGGTTGCTTTCTGGTGGGCAGAAGCAATGCTTGCAATTGTTTTGCTGCTAGGGATTGCTTGGAGCTGACTTCTTCTTGCTGCAGGACACAGATCTCGTTCGTCTCTGGTATCGATCTCTTGCCTTTTGTTCCCTGAGCTGCGAACTGTTGGGCAATCCGAAAGGAGGTGACAATGATAATGACCGCCACCAGGCTCCGGGTTAATAAATAGCAGGCAAACCAAGAGCCACTTTGGGTTGGACAGCAGAAGAACTCGGCCTCCGCATGCCCCGCTATCCTAACTGTTCTTTGCGCATCCTCATTGGGACTAGCGTTCGAATGTTGTCGCTTGCTTTTGGCACGAGCAGGGACGAAGTATTAGTCTACAATGTGCCTCGTACCTTCCGTTGGTGGGGGACCCGCTAAAAAATCTCGAGAAAAGTTGCTGATAAGATTTGATTGCCCAAGGTAAATTTGCGGCTGGGACATTCATATTCAAGCATCACGCCTCATATTCTCAGGCCAATTGCACCATAACATAAACGATGCCTGTCCTTCGGTCAGCCACTGCTGGCTCTGGCGAGGCTCCCAAGCAATTCAACCAGCCCTCGAGGAAAGGAAAGAAGGCATGGAGAAAGAATGTGGATGTGACCGAGGTAGAGGAGGGCCTGAGAGAGGTCAATGATGAGATTATTCGAGGGTATGGAGTTTGCGCACTTTGAGCCCTTGCGCAGGAACCTTTACTAACGTATTTGGCAGTGGTATCATTCGAGAGAAGGCGTCCGAGGATCTCTTCGTCATCGACACAACAGGCGATTCCAAGATCCCCAAGAAATTCCCCAAGCACGTCAAGAAGGGCCTCAAGGCCGACGAGATCATCAACAAGCGCTCTGCGGTGCCGGCAGTCTCCATGCGCAAGCGGCCCGGCGACAAAACTACCGATGGAGTCATTCCTGCCAAGCGCCAGCGCACGGATTGGGTTTCTCACAAGGATCTGGCCCGTCTGAAGAAGGTTGCCGATGGACATCACGAGAATACCGTTGCCGTCAAAGACGCTACGTTTGACTTGTGGGATGCCCCTGCTGCGCCGGTGGCCCAAGACCCGACGGATTTCCTGCCTGAAAAGAATGAGCCCAAAGTTCCAAAGTCCATGAAGCTAAAACCCCTATCCTTACTCGCAAACGGGAAACAAGCTCCCGCAGTGCCAAAGCCTACAGGAGGATACAGCTACAACCCTTCTTTCCCAGAGTACGAGAGCCGACTCGCTGAAGAGAGCACCAAGGCTCTCGAAGCCGAACAGAAGCGCCTCGAGGCTGAAGCCGCCGAGGCCGCGAAACTGGAGGCCGCAGCAAGGTCAGCTGCAGAAGCAGATGCCGCCGAGGAGCGAGCCAACATGTCGGAGTGGGAAGAAGACTCCGAGTGGGAGGGCTTCCAGTCCGGCGTGGAGGATGAGAGGCCCGGCACAAAGCAGCCCAAGCGCAAGACGCAGGCCCAGCGGAACCGCATCAAGCGCAGAAAGGAGGAAGAGCAGCTGGCGAAGCACAAGGCTGAAATGAAGGCCCGCCGCGCGCAGGAGCAGCGCATCAAGGAAATCGCCGAGGAGGTTTCTGAAAAGGAGAAGCAAAAGGCTCTTGTGCTGGCCCAGGCCGCCGAGCAAGACTCGGACGCCGACAGCGAAATTGGCGAGGAAAAGCTGCGGAGGAGGCAGCTGGGCAAGTACAAGCTCCCGGAGAAGGATCTCGAGCTTGTTCTGCCGGATGAGTTGCAGGAATCGCTGCGACTGCTCAAGCCCGAGGGAAACTTGCTCAAGGACCGATACAGAAGCATGCTGCTCAGAGGAAAGGTGGAGAGCCGGAGACACATTCCATTCAAGAAACAGGCCAAGAAGAAGCTTACGGAAAAGTGGACGCACAAAGACTTTGTTCTATAGACTGGCTGATGATGAACATGTGTTTTTTCTTTTTTAGTTATTTTTTGCTCGCATATCCCTCTGAATTTTCTTTTCTTTTCAATAAACAGACATTAGATCATGGCGTCATAATATTTCTTCAATAAAAACGGCTAGGGACGAAGACGCTTCTTCTGCTATTTATCACACATTGAAGGATATAAAGTTAAGGTCCAGGCATATATACCCAACCCCCCCTTTCCAAGTCCTAACATACCCCTATAATTTTCATATTCCTCCAGGGAATCTAAAAATACGCTCCAAGCTCATACGTTTTCTTCTTCTAAAGCTGACGAACACTTCGTGCAACTCTTGATTTATATCGGTTTGGGGTCATGATATTACTCTCTTCAAAAAGCCACAAGATCTGAGATTCAATTGTCAGTTCTCAGTTCGATGTGAACAAAATGAAAATATTAGCGGCGAATAAAACATACCTCTACCGAATAATCCTCGCTTCATCCAGTCCATGGCCATCAAGCTCCTCGTCCGGAAGCTCACGCTCTGCGCAAAGTAGACAGATCTCCAGGCGTACACAGCCCACAGCCCACCGGCCATGCTCCAGCCCTCTCCCAGGTCAAAGACGGCCGAGTTTCCGATATATGCCAAACTGCCCAAGTGGCGATACTCGAATGCCTTGTAGACGGCGGCGTCCAGATCTCCATCTCGAATATCGTTTGCCAGCATTGCATCCGAGATTTTGGCCATCTTGTTGAACTTGTGGGCAAGGTACTGTCCCTGCTGATGGGCACGCTGAGCGGTGGCCGGGAGCGACGTCAGCTTGTTATCAATCTGGTTCAAGAGCTCGCGAAGCTCGCCAAAATCGAGAGTTCCAGACTGATCCTTGTCAAACTCGAAAAAGAGCTTATCGAGACGCTTGAGATGGCTAACTGCCTGCGGGAAGCGCTTCTTAACATCCTGCGCAACAGTTCGCCAGTCGGAGAAGTGAAGCTGAAGCGTCTCTGGCTCTATTCCACGCGACCATGCGAGCTTACGGAGAAAGCTGACGATGCTGTCGGCAACGTTATTTTGGACGGTGGAACAGTCACCAATGGCATATACATCGCCTAGAGGGGCACCGTTGAGGCGAAGGTGGGTGTCTGTTTCCAACGCATGTCGGTTCGTCTGGCTGTCGCCCAACTTCTTGGCTAGCTTCTGGGATAGAGCAGTCGGAGAGACACCGGTGGACCAAAGGCAAAAGCCTATTGGGAGCTCCTTGGTTATCACAGACCCGTCCTCCTGCTTCTGGCTAAAGATAATCTTGTCAGGCAGAACCTCCTTGACTCGCGAATTCGTAAGAACCTCAACCTGGTCACGGGCGAAGCGCTCCTCTGCATATTTAGAAACTGTCTCGTCGTATGTGTTAAGAATATGACCTCGGCTCTGGATTATATGGACAGATATCTCATTTCGCAGTAGACGGGGAAAGTGTCGAGTCAGATCCTCATTCAGAAGATCATAGAGCTCGGCGGCGAACTCGACACCAGTCGGCCCGCCGCCGCTAACGACGAAAGAAAGCAAGCGCTTGCGTTCATCATCTGAAGTTGTGGGTAGACAGGCAAGCTCGAGATTCTGGATGACCTTGTTTCGAATCATCCGCGCATCGTTAATGTCCTTGAGGAAAAAGGCATTCTCTAGCCCCTTGACGCCATGAGGGTTTGTTGCAGAACCAACGGCAATGACGAGCTTATCGTAGGGAACATAGAAGCGGACCTC